CAGCTGCAAAAGTGGTACATACATTTACATGGTAAAGGTCATTGTGCCCTCAAAATCCTTAAAACTACACATGGCTTAGAAAATGTTTTGACTAATGCAGTGTTTCTCAACCTTGCCAAATTTTAAGATGGGGGGACTTCAACTCCCATGCGGGCTGGGGATTTCTGGGAGTTGAAGTCCACTCATCTTAAAGTTGTCAAGGTTGAGAAACACTGGACTAATGTATATTCAATGAATCTCCAAGGTGTATGGACATAAAGTAAAAATGAGACAGCGAGCAACTGCATCCTTTTAAAAAAATCCATAAATTGAATTGTTTTATTATCAGCAGCAGCACACTGTGAGAAAGGGGGACACTGTTAAGCTATTTCACCACAGAAGTTGTGAAACCAGTAGGACTTCTCTTAGTATTTGGCATTACCCAGTTTTGATTTTCAGTGTAAGGTTAGCATGGCTCTAATGCTGAGCAGGGATGTCTACTGAAGTAGCTGGATAATGATAGCACTTTCAATCCTCACAGAGATGTAACAGTGAATCCATTTTAGTTTTTGAGACAGGAATAACAAGTAATAAGATAAAGTAGGATAGTTCAATGTGAAAATAAGACTATTTTTAAAAAGCATTTAAATATATAGAAAAACTTAGTATTTGAGAGTTTTAACAATAGAACTCTTCTCTCTCACTCTCCTTTTAGCCCAGGATTGAGGAACTTGTGGTCAGTGGTGAATGTAAAACTGCCTGCACCACGTGGTTTAGAGGCCCTCAAATTTTGCATGGGTACAGACATGGGTTTGCATTATCCCTAGAGAAAAGTGTTTGTATTTTAGTTCTTTGCAATTTGTTTTGCACTCATCAAGGGTACTTTTCATGTCTGAAGTGGAAGATAAAATGTCTTATTGAGGTTACACATGAAATGTTGCTTAAGAGTTTTGTCTTGTAGATGTCAAGAGAAAACAGGTTTCTATGGACACATGAGTTCATTAGTCATGGGGATTAATTCATTACTTTTTCATCTGTCAACTTCTGATGTTAGCTAGTTAACATTTTTCAACACTTAACTTTTTACACAAAGAATAAGATACAATTCTGTAAAAATCCAGCCAAACCCATAGCCATTTTAAAAGTTGGAGAGGAGTACCAAAAATAGGGGAAGGGAGGCAGTTTTTGCTACTTCAGTTGCTTACTATTACAATATGATACAGAAATTATTAAATTATGTTTGGAAAAATTGTGGGGGAAAGGAGATTTAGCAGAAAGGGAGAGGTGAGTGATTCTGCCTATTACAGGTTTTTATCCTGACACTTAGATTCCTTATTAGAGGAAATGAGAATGGTGTGCCTTCTTAAGAAATGGGCCTCTTGACTTGAGAATCAAGTCCCAGAATTTGTTAGTTCATGCTGGATTTTTCTGCGCTGCAGAATTCAACAAGGTGGACATTTGACACCACTAAAGCAAATAGCTCAAATTTCATGATTAAAAACTATTACAAAATACTACACATTTTTATATTACTATCAAGTATTCTTAAGAAGAGTGTGAGAACAGCACTGCTGTTTATTGGAATATGATGAAGGCCATGAGCTTGGATGGCTTTAAAATGTACATTTATGAACAACAGGTCAATCAGTGGCTATTGATCTTGACTGCTATAAGCTACTTCCAGGCTCTGAGGCAAGTTTATCTAACAACAGCAGGAGAGGAAGCATCCTCCATCTGTGGGCTTTCCAGAAAAGGATCTGGTGGGCCAGCCTGTAAAATTGGATGCTGGACTAGATAGGCCTTTGGTTTAATCTATTCATAATTCATAACACTGCTAGTTGTAAGAGGTAAAAATGCTGAAAAAAATTCAAATTTCCTAAAACAATCTTTGAATGCGTTATATCCTGACCTTTAGATTAACCAGGCAAAACAAGTTGAGTCATCTTTTAGAATATATTTCACTGTAAGTTGTTAGAACAAGAACTTGGAGAATGTAAGATGAAGTCAAAAGAACATTGACTGAGGAAGGATTTAGTTTTCAGTGGTTCTCATATGTGTACTTGAAAGACAGATTTAAAGTAGGTAAAATAACATTCAGAATTGAAGAACATAAGACGGCATTTGAAATCGAATTATGTGATAATGATGAACATGTAATTGCTAAAATGTATAACCTTTTACTGAAATTTGAGACAGAAGAAGAACAAGTTAAAGAGTGTATGATAAAATGGGCTAAAAACTTTGGATATAATATACAGATGGATCAATGGGAAAATATGTGGTTGAAAGGACTGAAATTTACATTGTTACAATTTAAACGATGATGTACATTGGTGTATGACACCAGAAAAGCTTTCTAGAATGTATAAAGGTACCTCAAATTTATGTTGGAAATGTGGAAAACGTGAAGGGTCATTTTATCATGCTTGGTGGACTTGCAAAAAAGTTAGAAAATTTGGAGCCCAAATACATACAGTAATATGAAGAATTTTAAAGACTAATATTCAACAGAAACCAGAGCTTTCCTTGATGGGACTAATGGACAAACAACTAGAAAAGACTTATGGATGATTGTTTATGTACATGGTAACAGCAGCAAGATTATTATATGTACAAAGATGGAAACCCTCTGAAATACCTACAATAGAGGAATGGTTGGTGAATATGACACAATTTGTACAGATAGCGAAACTGACCTGTTTAATTAGAGAAAAGACAGTAACTACATTTGTCAGTGACTGGAAACCCTTAATGCACTTTTTGCTGAAAATGGAAAAAAATGTGATTTATGGGTTTGATGATTAGAAAGGGTAGATTATGGAAAGAAGCAAGTTATAATGTAACCTTAGAGAGAGAGGATAAAATTCAAATGCATTTATAGCTGCTGTAAAGAAGAACATAAGCCATTTGTTTATGTTTTGTCTTTTTGTCTTTTTTTCTCTTTCTCTCCTTTCTCTTTCTCTATTCTTTTCTAACATTTCTTTTATTTACCTTTATTTTCTTTTTCCTTTAAATGTTTTTATTCTGTAAACATTAATTCTGTAAAAATTAATTTAAAAAAAAGAATATATTTCACTGCAATAGAGGGTGTTTTGCAAGTCAGTCATGCGAGGGGTACAACTGTACAGGTAGTCCTCGTTTAGCAGCTGCCTCATTTAGTGACCGTTTGCAATTACAATGGTGATGTAAAAGTAACTTAACGATCAATCCTCACATTTGCAACCTTCACAGGTCTGTAAAGCAAAGGAAAGCTGAAGTAAGATCATAAGCACAGTCATGGTTTTGCTAAATGAGGACTACCTGTGTACCAAATCAAATACAGATGAACCCCAGCAATTTTTTAACCACAGATGCCAAATGATTTATGCTACAGAAATGGTGTTATTTTCAGAGTTGGTTTACTGAAGTGCCTGTGACAATGTCCTAAACAAACAACATCTGAAAAAGCAGGAAAAAAATTATATTACTTTTTGAATGTCCTATTGTATAAAAATAGACTGAGTGTTGTGAACTTACAAACCACACGAGGGGAAAAAATCACAAACCCTGCAACACTGTTAATGATGAGCTGCTTTATTAGATTAAAACTATTAAAAACACTGTGTGAATTTAAGAGCCATCCCATTGATGGCTACAATTAATCAATATGTGTTAATAATTCATCCGTCTATAATCAATATTGGGCTATCCCAATTCACCACACATATAATTTATTAGCATTTTTGCCAATTTCTATTTAAGTATATTATATAGAGAGAAGTGACTCTTTTGTTCATGACTCAAATTCATGTACTGACATGTAATGATAATAGAGTAGCTAACATAATTCTGCATTAAAATTAACCTCAGTGAAAGTATTATGATATATTTACTGATACTCTTATTGTAACTTCATGTATAGGGTTAAAAAATATTTAACTTTAATGTCTTTTCATACTTTCAAATGACTCACTTGCCTAGAGATACCACTGCCTGGGGTCTCCAGATGTTGCTGTTCTACAATACCTGGCAGCCCCAGTCAACCAATGGTAAAGAATGCTGACAGTTGCAGTTCAACATCTGGTGGGAAACAAGATCAGACTTCTGATTTAGCCTTTACATAAAATCTATTACTATAGTTAATTCATTGTTTAAACTTTTCTATTTCCATACAGTAATGGAATTTTGGCTGAATTAACACCCCAGTGCCTCTTGTGATTAGATGTATGATGCATTTAATGGACAGTGGAGTTTCACTGATCCCTGTACTATTTTACTGGAATGTTACAACTGTTTATAATTATTGGAATTTTAAGCAAGTGTGTATAAATCTCTCCAACCTTGAGTTTTAAATATGGCATTTATGTTCAAGTTGAACAATTATTTGACAGGGAAAAAGAAAACGAAAATAAATGAGAACTTTGTTTCATACATTTATATGATCAAAAATACTATAAATTGAGTATTCAACCTCGTTTGATAATATTTCCACTTGAGATGGATAAATCTGTAAAGCTGGTCTCTCTTAATTTCTAATTTTTCAAAGCCTAAGTATGTTTGTCCTACTTCTGAATCGCTTAGCAAAATATGCCAAAATTGTGTTTACATCCGTATGTATTTCCCTAATACATATATTTTGTGAACCCTTTCCCCTAATATATTATTTTTTGAGTACAAATTTTTAAATTTGTGGGCTATATATTTTTAAAATTCAGAAAAGCTCAATATGCATTTTTTTCTACACTGATTCAGGTCATATGAGTTATGTCCCTTCAAATTAAAAAACAAAATCTACTGTTTTTTTGTCCTTTTGTTATTCTTATATTCAGTAGAACTGGAGTGTTTACAGCCTGCTGTCTAAAGATAAAACTAAATGAAGTCAATATCCTTTAACTGGTGTCTTTTCCCATTTCCAACAGGTTCTGAGACTACTTTTGGTCACATAAACACATATGAGCTTGACCAAAAGGCAGGCATAACAAAATTGTATCATGGTTTATATTGTAGTAACAGCTATAAAAAGAAAACCTGACATTTATTATGCTGTACTGAGAGGTCAGTCATGTCAAATACACTCCATTTTTATTGGCTAAGATACAAAAAGCCTTAAGCTATATAACCTTATACTCATAGTAATCTTGCCAATTTGCACACCCCACTGTATATTCTTGCTGGGCTCTGGATTCTGTTCCAAAAGGTCTGACTCACAAAAGCATTTTGGGGGGGGGGGGGTTGGATGGGAAAGTTCATATAAA